TACGAAGACTCATCCGTCATTTGTATCCATAGGGCTCTGCGGCATCTGGGTTTCTAGATCTTGAGCCCATCAGCTTGATGGATAGTGTTGGGACCAAGATTACATTACGGGGTTAATTTATTACATTTTTGAACACCCGTTTGCTGGGAGACTGTTTTTCCAAGTTATTTGCATATTTTTCACCATAACGACAATATGTAGGAGGGCATCTGGGAGGAAAGGATGGATGTTTAAGAGGAGAGAGAGCTGATGTGAGAACTGGAGCAGGTCCCTGAGGGCCTGCAATGAGGACAGAAAGAAAATCACTCCCAAGAGACATTTAAATTGAAACTAAGGGAAAGAAAGATGTAAGAAAGTCTTACAAAGACCAAAGCTTGTGTGGGCAAAGGAGGATTCCTGGAGTTCACTGAACAAGCACAGGAGCGAACGGGTAAGACAATAGGCAATGAAGTGTCCAGATCCCTCAGGTGCTGCCAAGGTCCCCCCCATAGCCACCAGGATGGTCACATGACAGATCATTCATCCCATCCCTGCCTAAGAGTCCTAAGACACCGAACGGGGTCGGGGGGAGCCATAGAGAGTAAGCCACATACAGCCTGGTAACAGACCCACTGGCACCAGGATGCTCAAGGATGCAGCCACTCAGACCACTTTATGAGCAGAGACTCAGCCCTGTTCATTTTTTGGTCCAGCCCTTCACCCAGTGCCTGGCCCTACCCAGGTTCTCAATGAGTGCAAGTAAATGAATTAATGAAAGAAAGAAGAGATGAAATGATGGCGGCCAGTGGCTCACTGCCATTTGCCTGATTTGAATCCTACTTATTCTGAATGAGAACAAAGACGTCTGATTTTAGTGCTTGAGCTACAGGTGGCGGTGTGCAAAGAGCTGCTTTCACAACTAAAGCAAGAGCTGGGGAATGCTCACTTTCCCCCCCTCCCCCACACCCACCAGGCCGCTCACGTCTCTAATGTGCTGTCTTTCCCCACCACTGCTCCTTAACCAGCTGTGAGTCCCTTCCTTCTCTGAAGCTCAGGTTCCTCACCTGTAAAATGGCATAATGGGAGCACCAATTCCATAGGGTTGAAGGGGGAACAAGTGAGATGTTTGTAAAATATAAAGCTCACGGGGGCGCCTACATGGTTCAGTTGGTTAAGCATCTGACTCTTCCTTTCGGCTCAGGTCATGACCTCACAGATTCACGGGTTCAAGCCCTGCATCAGGCTCTGTGCTGGCAGTGCGGAGCCTGCTCGGGATTGTCTCTCTCTCCCTCTGTGTCTACCCCTTTCCCACTTGTGCTGTCTCTGTCTCTCTCAAATTAACTTTAAAAATATATACATAGGGGTGCCCGGGTGGCTCAGTCAGTTAAGCATCTGACTTCAGCTCAGGTCATGCTCTCGCGGTTTGTGGGTTCGAGGCTCAGGTCATGATCTTGTGGTTCGTGGGTCTGAACACTGCCAGGCTCTGTGCTGACAGCTCAGAGCCTGGAGCCTGCTTCAGATCCTGTGTCTCACACTCTCTCTCTGCGCCTCCCCCACTCATGTTCTGTCTTTCTCCATCTCTCAAAAATGAATAAACATTTAAAAAATTAAAAATATATATATATATATATGGGGTGCCTGGGTGGCTCAGTCGGTTAAGCGTCTGACTTCGGCTCAGGTCATGATCTCACGGTTTGTGGGTTCAAGCCCCGCATCAGGCTCTGTGCTGACAGCTAGCTTAGAGCCTGGAGCCTGCTTCAAATTCTATATCTCCCTCTCTCTCTGACCCTCCCCTGCTCACACTGCCTCTCTCTCTCTCTTTCAGAAATAAATAAAACATTAAAAAATTTTTTAATAAATAAATAAATATTTTATATATATATATAATGCACAATGCCTGGCATATAAATGCACAATTAGTGCTATTATGGCAATGATATTAAGATCTGCACACACTAAGCCTCTAGAACAAACACTTTGCACCAACCACCATGCTTTTCAAAACCCCATCTAAAACATCCTCAACTGCACCCCCCTCCCCAACTCCATTTCCCAAGGCAGTCCCCAAGGTGCCCTAAGGAAGACATGCATCCCCCCTGCCAGAGATGCCTTAAAGATGAGGGGATGTGGCCCTCACTCGGCTTCTCCCCTCCCACATCTGGCCTTCCCGTGTGAGGCATGACCTATACAGCTCCCCAGATCCACGGCTGACCTCAGACCCAAGCCAGGGCCCTGACCTTAGGCCAGCAGGGCAGAACCCACACACGCCATTCCCGCCCCAGTGTTTTGCTGACTCCCCAATATTACTGACTCCTTTTTGGTCAGGAGGAGGACCTTACAAATCATCCCTTCTTAAACTTAGAACCTCCACCCATAGACATGGAATGTCTTTCACAATTTCAGGCGTTCCTGAGCCCTTCGAAGTCATCCAGATCAGAGGGTAAGAGCCCTTGATCCAGCTCAACTACTACTTAAAAAAAAAAAAAAGGATTTATTGAGATATATTTCACAAGCCATAAAGTTCACCCTTTAAAATATGCAGTTTACAGGCACCTGGGTGGCTCAGTTGGTCAAGCGTCCGACTTCGGCTCAAGTCATGATCTCACAGTTCGTGGGTTCAAGCCCCACGTCTGGCTCTGTGCTGACAGCTCGGAGCCTGGAGCCTGCTTCAGATTCTGTGTCTCCCTTTCTCTCTGCCCTTCCCCCGCTCGCACTCTGCCTCTCTCAAAAGTAAATGTTAAAAAATTTTTCTTAATTAAAAAATAATAAAATAAACTAGAATATACAGTTTAGTGGTTTTTAGTGAGTTGTGCGTCATTCACCACCATTTAATTCTAGAACATTTTCATTATTCCAAAAAGAACTACCCCCCCCTTCTCCCAGCCTCAGGCATCCACTCGTCTACTTCCTGTCTCTGTGAACATTCCACATACATCATACAACATGTGGCCTTTTACGTCTGGCTTGTTTCACTCGGCATAAAGTTTTCAAGACTCACACACACTGTGGCATGTAGTGGCACTTCATCCCTTTTATGGCCAAATAATATTCCACTGTATGGATCCAGCACATTGTGTTTATCCATTCATCAGCCGGTGGATATTTGAGTGGTTTCCACTTTGGCCATACAACTCTGGGGACACCGAGGCCCAAAGTCAACAAACCTAGGATGGGAGAGGAGTCCGGGCCTCTCCTGACATCGGTCTTTCGTCGCTGTGTCACTCTGTGACAACTCAGAGAGCAGCAGGCATGGCAAAAGACTGCCCCACTGGTGAACACAGCCAGAGCAGCAACGTTCAAACCAGACTGTCCGGTGAATGTCTGGCCACGGTTTCATTCCTGAAAAAGGAGAATCATGCCACCCCACACCCCTTCTCCTCCAAGCCACCATCACCTCTTCCCCAACACAGTCCCTATCTCCCTGGTTGGTCCATGCCCCACTGCAGTCTGCTCCCAACTTTAGGAATTGGAGTGAATTAGTTAAAGCCTAAGTCAGTTCATGTCTCTACTCTGCTCAAAACACAGTCCATCCCGGTGCCCGTCTGGCTGATAACATTACATAACAATAGCAGGTAATTTTTCTAGAGTATTTCCCATGGGGCCAGGATCTTAGGAACATCGAAGTGAATCCTTGAACCCTAAGAGTTAGCGATGATGAGCTCAGAGAGGTTAGGCGATTGCCCGAGGTGACCTGGAAGGGCAGATGAGCCCAGACATCTGGCCTGACCAAAGAACGGAGCTCCTTAAACCTCTGAGCCATAACGGCCACACTCTGGAGGAAGAGGAAAACAAGCGAAATGGAAGCCGCCGGGCGAGCTGTGGGCTCCAGGAGAAACTCCCGCTTCGCGCGCTCCCGGTCCCGCCCAAGAGCTCTTTGATCTTTCCAGTGCCTGTGGCCCCACCCACCCCGCCGTGAGTTATGGGGGCCGCGGGACCCATCACGCAGCATTCCCGGACTCCCAGGGTCTTCGGGACGCGCCTCCCCGCGAGGTGATGGATGAGCCGCCCCTAGGGGCTGGCTTTGTCCCAACTGGGCCGGGCTAGGGAGTATCACCCGGACTTCGGACGGGGCGTGGCGAGAGGAAGACCGTGTGTGTGTGTGTGTGTGTGTGTGTGTGTGTGTGCGTGTACAGGGCAGAGGGATTGTATCTCTCCCTTCCCTCCCACGGTGTGTAGCGGAGGACACACTGGTGCGGCCGTCAAGGCCCGGGATTCACACCTGGTAACGGTTTGAAGACCCCCTGTGCTCCCACAACGAAAAGCGACCTCTCTTAGAACCCCGCCTCCCGCTCCGCGCACTTTGCGAGGCTACAAAGGCTCCGCGGTGCCCCGTCCCGCCTCCCTCGCACCGGGGATTTCTTCCGTCCCATTTGACAGCCAGGGCGGAATAATCCTTTTGGGGACTGGCCGGCCCCTGCCCAGCCAGACGCGGCTGCAGCTGAGCGCTCGGCTCCGATGCATTGTTGGGTCCGCCAGGGACCCCCTGCCGCGGCCCTTTGTCGCCCGCTCCCGGCGGGGCCGCTCCAGAGGCGCCACCGCTGCCCGCGCCCCGCCCGTCCCACGCGCTCCGGGCAGCGCCGAGGCGGCTCTTACGCACTGGGAGGAGTGGGCCTGCGTCGCCCGGTGCCCGCACGGCCGCCCGGCTGCGCCCGCCTTTGTCTGCCTCCTTTGTCTGCCCCGCGCCCTCGCGGCGGCGGCGGCTAGGCCTCTGGGGAGCGGGCCCGGAACGCCGAGCGCAGCTGGCGAGGGCGCGCTGGCCGGGAGCGCGCGGGGCCCAGCCCGGCCGGGGGCTGCCCCTCAGCGGGGGGCAGCCGAGCCCGCTCCCACCGCCCCTCCCCCGCCTCCTCCCCGCGCGCCCGCCCCTTCCCGCGCGCCGGCCCCCTCCCCTTCCCTCCAGCCCCGCTCAGCCTGGGCACATCCTCCTGCCGCCCGCGCACCTCTCCTCGCGGTCCCCGCTCCGCGGCTCGGCCGTCAGCCGCGCTCCGCTCCCTCGGGCTCTCGGCCCCGCGCCCCTTGGCCCCCGCCCCGCCGGCCGGACAGGTAAGGCATGGCCTTGGCCCGCCCCTGGCCCCGCCCTCCCTCCTCACCTGGTAGCGTGCGCGGACAAAGGTGGGCTACCTGGCGCGCTTCGGGGCAGGGCGCGCGGGGGACTGTGGCTGGAGTGAGGATGCTGCTTTCTTCCCTGGCCTCCCGGCCCTCGGAGCCGTCGGTCGGTGTGTCCGCCGCCTCCGCTCCTCGCCGCGTGCCCGCTGGGCTCCAGGCTCTGCTCCCGGCCCCCGCGTCCGCCCACCTTCCGCCGGACGTTCACTTTTCCACGCTCTGACACCCTGCCTCCTGCGCGCCTTCGCCGCCCTGCCCGGGTCGCGGCTTTCGCCCACTCCCTCCTCCGCACTAGCCCTTCTCCCTCTGGGACCGCGTCTCTCTTTGTCTCTCTGTCTCTGAGTCTCTGGGTGGTCTCCAGGACGCGGGGGCGAACTGGGGAATCCGCCACCATTCGAAGAAGCTTCGAAGACTCCCTGAGCCCCGGACAGAGCTGACAGGCGTGTCCTCCTGCCCCTTTCGAGGCTACCTGGGGGGCTAAGGTGTGTTTCGGGGGGAGGAGGCTCGGGGTGCGCCCCTGCCAGCGCTGCCCGCGGCCGTGCGCCCGGGCAGTTCCGCGCCCCGGCTACCTCGACGGCCCGGCTCAGGCCTCCTTCCTCCACTGGCTTTTTCTCCATTCGCGCACCGGGGTCTCAGCCGCCTGCGGGGTTTGAGATGTGAGGGCTCTTGGGTTTCCCGCCAAGTCTTCTTGCTTTCCTCCACTGGGGGTTCCCTCGGCCTCCGTCTGGTCTCCTGCCCAGCGCACCTTGCACGCTGCCCTCCTCTCAGCCGGTGGCCCTCAAGAAGTGTCCCGGTGCGGGTTCAGCGCCATCCATCTGGGATCAGGCAGACAGAGGCCCTGGGAGTGATCTTGGACAAAGGAATGCATTTCCCTGAGCCTCAATGCCCCCTTCATAAAATGGGGATAATAGCACCCACCCACAGGGATGTGTGTTGAAACAGTGAAAAAAGCACATCGGATGCCAGCACAGTACACACTTGGTGGCCGCGGGGAAGGCGTCACTCCCTAGCTGGGCTGGGGCTGGGGTCTCCACAACAAGGGGGAAATGGATCCCAAGTCAAGGCTTAGAGACCCTGCAGAGAAACCTGACTGTGCCCACCCCTCCCCACCCCCGCCCATCGCAGTCACAGTTGCAACCGCCCCCACCCATTACAGGGATCCTGCTGTCGTGGGCGTGGGCGCTGTCCCTTCTTCTCGCTCCTCCTCTCTGCTTGTCCTAAAAGCAGTCTTAAAAAATCAGGGTGAAAAGGGCCTCTGCTTCCAAAGTGAGATGAGTGTCGCCGTGTCAGTGTTGCCAACAGCTGGCCATTCATCATGAGGCGTCCATGTGACTCATTCCCAGTTCTGAACCCCTGTCTTGCACGGATTTCTTTTTTAATGGCACTTGCACACAAGCCATCTCCTTTCCTCTGGGGGCTTTGTCTTGCTGTATCCTGGACCTGCTGTGTAATTGCCCAAACCCTCTGCCCATCGGATCATCTATGTCCTCATAACACCCTCATGATCACCCCTGGGGTGCAGCAGTGTGGCTCAATGAGGGCCAGTGCAGCAGAGGGAAACCTTCTTCCAGCCAGCAAGTTCTAGGCTCCCCTGGCTAAGTTCCGGTTTTCAGCCATGGCCAGCGCTGGCACCTAGGGATTCGGGACACAGGCAAACCCCATCCAGCCTCCTGTTCATGGTGCCACCTGAGAGGCAGGCCCAGCCTTGGCACCCCAGAGCGCCCTTGCCATCTCTGCCTCCTCGGCAGCCTCTGCGATCCCTCCAAAATTTGCTCAGCGCCTCCTTGCCCCTCACCCGCGTGAAAATGGTGGCACCTTCTCTGCCTTCTTCCTCGCCACCCTTCAACCTACCCCTCTCCCCAGCCCTAAATCCTTCAAATGGCTCCCTGTTGGCACTAAGTTAACAACTCCACCTGCCACGCGAAACACTCTCATCTGCATCTTTGGCTCTTTCCTCCTTCTGAAATGTCTCCTCCCCTGCCCATGTTCAGTCAAAGCCTGTCCTCCCTGCAGGCCAAGGTCAGATGTCCCCTCTTGCGGGAAGCCCTCTGCTTCCCCCCTGCCTCCCTGTCTCTTGTGGTCTGCACTCCCCTGGGCGGGGTTGGGTCTTGTCTATTTGTGGTCCCTGTACACCCAGTGGGTGCTCCCGGAACACATGTTCTACCGAATGGAACGTTTGGTCAAGGGGATAGGAGTCAACTGAAAATTGACACAAGCCATAGGTTATGCTTGGGTCCCGTTGGGTCCTGCTGGCCAGGCCAGGGGTAGAGTTGACCCTGGAGTGAAAGACCATAGTTGGGGAGGTCGGAGGGGGAGCCACCTGTTTCTGGGCTCTTCATCTCCCTGGAAGATGAGGGTGATCCCCGTGCCTGATGATAGAGGGGGAAGTGATTGCCCCCAAGTCCTGCAGAGTGGGTTTGAATTCCCGCTGATGGCTTACTAGCTATGTGACCTGGAGGGAGTTCCTTCACTGGTCTCAGCTCAGCCAGGAATGTGGTAGAACAGGGATGTGCATCCTGGCCTCCCTGATTCTATAGCCTGGGGAGAATGGGAGCTCCCTCCAGAGAGGGATCCGGGCACGTTCCCAAGGGGGGGTTGTTATATGAGCATCCCTATTCTGGCTCCTTCGGATGACACCTGCCTCTTGTGCTGCTCCAGCCCCTCTGCCTGTCTTCTGTCAGCCCTTCCTCTTGTGTGAGCCATTTGACCAACCGCACGCAGGCCGTCCCCAGGGAGGACATGGGAGGGTGGCTGAGCCGTTGCCACTAAAGGCAATGCTTCCCTCACCACAGCCAGGCCCCGGCTTTGACAGCTCTCCGTACACCACCCCATGGTCCGGCATCTGGTACAGGTCACTGGATGGGGTGGGGGTCCAAGGGATAAGGCTCCTCCTAGAATCTAGAGCAGTTGAGATGAAGCCATTGTAGAAACTACAAGTTCTTAGAGACTCTCTCTGTGCCGGGCTCTGGGTTAAGGCCCCCAGTATGTGCCGTCCTTGAGAATCACAGTGTCTACACCGGTATGGGTCACTGAGGGTAACATGAGGAGTGGTCAGAGACCCCGCCTTTGGAGTCAGACAACCGTGAGATCAAGTCCCAGCCCCACCACTTCCTCTACTGTGGAAGCTTGGGCAAAGCCCTCCAAGGTTTGTCCCCACGTTGAGTCATTTTTGCCCACTTCAAAAGGCTAAATTAGATAATGCACCTAAGGCTCTAGGCCCAGATTAGTAAATGGCCAATAAATGATACTCAGACAACCTGGGACTGAAGCCCAGAGAGGCTAATTGACTTGCCCAGGGTCACTCAGCTATTAAGCACTGGAGCCAGGATTCATCCCCAGGCTTCTCTGACACCAGGTGTCTTTCTGCCCCACCCTGGCCTGTGCCAGAGCCAACAGCAGGCATTTCGTCACTTGATGATTAAGCGATGGGTCTGACCAAACAACAAGAGGTGTTAAATGGATCCTGAGATAATGAAGTTTGGGGAATAGAGGGAGCGGAGGGTTGCTTGGCTACCTATAATGTAGGAGGGGACAGGACTCTGGCTCAGGGGGTGGGCATGGGACACTGGGAGAGAAGAGCCCAAGACTGGGAGCCTCTGGGTGGGTGGGTGGGGCTCTGAGGAGTCCCCCAACTCAATACCCCTAAGTAGGTTTTTTGAGGTGTGAGGCCTTGAGGGGTTGTGAATTCCCAAGGCTACTGTTGGGAATGATAAAAGCAGATGGGGCTGCCCCTGTGGTGAAGCCAAACCTCATTTACCAAAACAATAGTCGTCTCCAGGCTGGCCTGGCCTGGCCTGTCCCACCCCACAGGAAACCATCGATCACCCCACTGAGGACTGATGACGTGGCCACCTGCGCTTGCCCCCTACACACACAGGCACAGATGCACAAACGCTTCTGGGACCAACCCCTCTCCCCACCTCCACCCACCACCCACTCTCTCCTTCCCTTCCCCATAATAACAAGAACTACTGCTTATCCCACCCTTACTGGGTTCTGCTCGCTTTATATACCTTTACCTCTTCTCCTTCTCACAACCCCTGGCGTTTTACGGAAGAAACTGAGGCTCAGAGAGGTTTAGGGACTTGCCCAAGGTCACACAGCTCTTCCCACCTGTTCCACAGGCTCTCCCAGGGCTCACCTTAATGGATTTGGGCCGACACCTGTGTTTGAATCAGTACTAGTTTGTGCCTCAAGTTTTCATTAGACCTCTGGCCTCTCCCCAAGGGTCCGAGGTGGGGACACCTGGAGGGCTGGGACTGTGTCTTTGGCTGCAGATTAGAAGCTCCCTTTAGCAATGGGTATGTTTTCCCCCATGTTATGGGAACTTCCAAGGTCAGAGATATGTCTCTCCTGTCAGACTGAGAAATCTCTAAGGGCAGCAACTCAATCTACCTCTGTATTTCAGGTTTGTGTATTTTAGAGAGGGTGCACATGAGTGGGGGAGGGGCAGAAAGAGCCAGGGACAGAGGATCTGAAGCAGGCTCTGCGCTGACAGCAGCCAGTCGAGCTGGGCTTGAACTCACGAACTATGAGATCATGACCTGAGTTGAAGTCGGCCCCTCAACCTACTGAGCCCCCCAGGTGCCCCTGAATCTACCTCTTCAGACTCCAGGCTTCCTTGGGGCAGGGGTTGCTTTCCTTGCCTAGACTGAGTGCTCCCTGTGGGCAGGAGTGGTGTCTCCCTTATCCGTCTGGGAGTCCTCCCTAGATCCTAGTCCTCCAAGGCAAGACGTGGATCTCCCCTCTCACACTGGGAGCTCCCTAGGGCCAGGGTTAGTGTTCCCCCACTCGGACTGGCAGTTTCCAGAGCAGAGCTGAACTCTCTTCCTTCAGACGCGAGCAGGCTCCTTTACAGGACATCCAGGTCCCGCAGCCAGAGGGGCTCAGCCAGTGGTGACCACCTGGTGTCACCCTCCCCTGCTGTCCCCATTGCAAAG